AAACTAAATCAAAAGTAAAATAGTCAAACATCAAAACTAGTTTCGACTTACGGCGAAACCTTTTGACTTTTGCATAACTACGAAACTCTCGTTTAGAAGCTAAACACTAGTTAAAAATAATAAAACGTCCTACTTTAATCGTAAATCTTTGTTTCAATAGGTGAAATGAAGCCACATTCACATTATTGGCTAAATGCAAAACAAAAGTAAAACACAACTAAATTGATTTACTGCCTATTGAAATCTTTGTAATTATAATTTACTGTCATCATAATAATCATATATTTGCTTTGACTATGTGTTTGATTTACATGTTGGAGGTAAAAATATAATTTTATTTGACAAAATTGTTGTTGTTACAATTTATTATTTAAAAATAACACAAAAGCCTGATATTTTTGTTGTTTAAATTTTATTAAGATGATATATGTAAATATTATGCAATGAATTTGGAACATATAGGGTAATCAAAAAATTTGAAATTCAAAGAGGACTAAAAACTTGGGGTGCAGTGATTAAATGTTTCAATTCCTTGCAAAAACAAGCCAAAAAGAAATTTTTATTGAAAATATTACTTGACAATAGGAAAAAATTATCTGATAAATCAATAATATCCAAAAAGAAAACTTTCAAACAAAATACAGTCAACTCTTCCTAAATGCACACTCAGGATCAGCCCCGATGATGTACACTTGGGGAGAGTTGACTTTAGTTTCCTTTACACGCTTGAAATCCATAAAAGATAAGAATGCTAATTATTTTAATATACAATATTATTATCAAAATAAGAAATTGAAATTTTTTAACAAGAGCGATTATATTTTTTAGTCTTGCAGATTTTCAGTATGTAGGTAGAATTGTTTTGAATTTGTCATAAAAGCTTGACACTTTTCTAGAAACGATATTTTTTGGTTGCTGGTGTCATCCAGCAGTCTGCAAAAAACTTGGTTGGTGATGGTGGTGTAATTCGGCCTATTTGTTTCAATTCCTTTATGAAAATTTCATCTTCTCCAAGTTTGGGCTTGAATATTACACCAAGGAGATCAAGATTATTTTCTGTTAGCAGAGGTTCAACCAATTAGGAATAATACATAGAAAAAAAAATTCATTATTCTTAAATGGCAAAATTTTTTACTTTAATTGCTGATTCGCGAATGAATCGGAGAAATGATCGACATTTTAATATAAAATTTTTATGCTAATTGTTATTAATAAAATGAGAAAATTCCCAAATCTCA